CCACTCTTGACTCTCTTTCTCTGTCTCGCGTCGACGACCATTAATTACGAACATTGCGATCCTCTTGTGGGTAACCCGGTTCGTAAATTGAAAGACCGGCGACGTTCGCGAAGAGGTCGAAAGCCGGATGCATCGTGAAAAGCCCCGATCGACTGGTCGGAGCTGGCTCGAAGGGCGGCTACCTTAGACATAGGTATCGGGACGGTAATTGACACCACTTTCACGGCTTAAACCGCTTTCCAATTTTCTCCTTATTTTCACGACGTAATAACTTACCGAGCTTGACGGCGTTTAGTCGCCGTGGCGGGCTGAGAGGGTTGCCGTGGAGGGGTGCTTGCTTCCAGAGCGCGGCCAGTAATGGCTACGTATATATAGACACTTCTTTACAAGGCGGTGAGATAAGCTCTCATTGGCGACCGAAGCGTAATCACTACGGCCTCCTGAAATAGCCTGAACCTTCGCCCCTTCACCCCTTTCGATCTTCCCGTTTCCCTTTTCTGGGATCCTTGGCAGAGGAAGCTCGATCGACGTCGAACGCTGTCACGTGAGCGTCGCGCGCTGTCATTGATGACTCGACTTTCGATCTTCGTTGGATGCAGAACGGAACTCTGCTTTAAGCTATGCTTAAATTTATCTCGTAATTTTCGTACACGGAAAATACCAGGGTTCTCGAGGGTTCCTCAAAGCGTATCGTCGATGGCGACGATATCGCGCTATACATCCTCGAAATATTCCTCGAATAGCTTAATGCCAAATTGCATGCTGGTTATCGAAGCCAATTATCATTTATCCTCGCTACCTTAACACGATGGTTCCCACGTGACAAAACGAGCCCATTTCCTACGCTCGCAAACATTTGTCCGAGCCGAGGATCGATTCTTTCCTCTCTGCACACAGCCGAGCATAATTAGAACGAGTGGTTCATTACACGTCTGTAATCAATACGCGGTAATGTCCGTGAAGGAGCAGCATGAACGATACCGGGATAATCCGATTCTTCTATTTATTACCGATAAATCACGATCGATACGTATTAACGGTGGAGGAATAAATATGGAAAAGCACGATCCTTCGTACGTCGATGCTTTCGAATCTATCATAATCGGTTATCCCTTAACTCGACGCGGATAATCGATTTTCACCCCCGCCAACGTCGTACCGTGCTTTCGTATCGAAAACAACGTATGCAAATTCGAGCTTTCGCGAATTTTACCCGTCGTCGAATTTTATTCATCGCGCCGATATCCGTTCATTGACAGAGACCTTTGGAAAAGTTCGTAGCGCGATTGCCGGGGATTTTGCAGGGGATAGGAAGGAAAAAGTTTGCACGGTGTTAATCCGTAATCAGCAGGCCGGTAGGTTCGTTTAAAAGATCGGCCCAGCTGCTGTTGTATTATTAATTCGGACGGTCAGAAACGCGGCTGCATATTGCATGCGTTTTCTATTGGCTGTTTCATGGGCTGCACTCGAAAATTCCGCGCTCCGTTTGCATATTAACGCGTTTGCAGCCTGTGTGCGTATCGGTGCTGCACTTTTATGTCCTCATCGACGCCGATGTATTACCAGCATCAGTCGTAAAACGATCTCGAACGTGATTGGCGTGTCGGTAAATTTATTTGTCGGTAAATTTATTACATACACCTTCCCTTCGACCCGGCGTCGATCATAGAGAGGGTGTTAAAAACCCTGCCCGGGATAGTTCGATCGAACGCCACGGTCGCGCGTGTTTCAACGAACGACAGATAGAAGTATTTTTTTTTTTTTTCTTTTTTGTAATAAAAGTACCAACTTTCGTAAGTGACGCTGTAATCTTCTTCGGGGACTCCCGATGTCGCCACTCAAGATATTAGAAAAGTTCTTGAACATAATAGAAAGTTGCGAAAGTGGCCGTGCAGTGTAATAAAGGGAGCTTTAAAATAAGATGAAATAAAATCAGGGACATTGCCAGTCATTATGATCCATCAGTACCGTTTTATTACATAATACCGTCGCCATCCGGGCAATTACTTTTTAACTTATAATTACACCGGATCCCGGGGCTCATTAGTGGGACAACAAACGCCCGAAGAACGTCTCGTCTATTCCACTTTCGCAGGGCTGTGTCAAACCGGCCTGTCCTTGTAAATTTTAAGGAGTTTAATTCCGCGTAATTGCCTAAGTTTTCGACGTAGCCTGCGGACAGAGTCTCGGGGACGAAGACAGTGCACGGCAGGATCGAATGGCGGGAACGAACGAAAGCTGTTCGAAAGTTCTTAAGGCCAATGAGTTTTTCCTCTGTGTATCTTCTTTTCTCTTCTTTTTTTCTTCTTTCATTTTTTCATTTCCCTTTTCGAGTTGGCCCTCGGCGACGACCTTTTACCGAACGATCGTTATTTACTTTTCCGCGAACGAGGAAGAAGATTTACCGGAGGTTCGGCAGCCGTGGGGAACGTAGAAGGCTGGAAAAAGTGGGCTGCTGTACGCTCGAATCGACGACATTTTGATTTATGGCCGGAAAATGGAAATCTCGCGTTAGGATGCCGGCCGGGTCGAGTCTCATGGGGATAGTGAGGTTTTTGGGCGCGGTTCAAACGGCATCGAATGGATATCCAATCTTTTTCCTCGGCTGGTCGAATGACAACGCAGAAGAATTTTAAAAAATACACCGTGTGCCGGCCTCGATCGATATCGTGAAACTCGCCTCTCTCTTCGCGGTTAAAATTGCAGTATAAAAACGTATTCCTCGAAGGACCAGGGATATCCTTTAAACGAAGTATAACTCAACGGATCCCAAGGCAATAATCATTTCCTTCGCCGTAACGGCGGGGAACA